AAACTGCATTTAAAGTTAATCATTCACATCATAATCAGTAGCTGAAAATGTATTTTAACTATTAATGCCAATGATTCAATTAATTTTTCACTTTCCAGTACCAGATTGAATTTCACTGAACTTGCTGATTTTTTCTTCTCTCAATAGACAAGCTAGTCTCAATGAAGCAGCTGAAAAATATTACAAAATGGCAGCTGAGCTAAGACCTAATGTAAGTACTTTCTTAAAGAAAATACATTATAGAGATCTTGAGAGTTATAACAGAGAGAAAACCAATACATTCGGAAGAATTATTATAATAATGCTTTGGTCTGTAAGCATTTTTAAAAGTAACCCACAGCAGCACTCTAATTAACCTTAACATTTATCAACTAATTATTGTAGATAATTATGTTGATAAAATTATTATATATGCATGCTTTTTTCCCTTTCATTTGTACATTTTAAATTTGGGTTCTTTATCACACTGTGAAGGCTAACTTTTCTCATTTCAAAAAGTGATGGTGAAACTGTTTCATTATCAGTTGTTCCTTTCTGGAATGAGATGATCACAAAAGTAAAAGGTTTGACAGATACATTTTTGACTGTCCCCAACATGACGCCTCAAATCTACTCCAGAAGATTTCCTGAAGAATTTGGCAGTGTGCATGAGGAGAGGCATTAAGAGTCAGTTTTGCATAAAGATTTCTCCTGATGATCAAATTCATAGAAGGGTAAGAAAAGAAACAGTGCATTGCTGTCTAAATTTTAAAACTGGGAAGGTTGAAAGATATTCAGCTTTTTAATTATTTTTTCTTTCTTTTTTGTATCTCGGTATTGTTTTTCTTTATTCTATTTACATATTAAAAGCAGCAAAAATAATAAAAGACAAGGATTGTAGAATCATCATGGACCTAGAAAGGACTTTGAAGTCTTCTAATATAATTCCATGCCTGGGCAGAATTCTCAGATTAGCCCAGATAAATGGCTGATTGAGCAGCCATAACTTCAAGAGGCAGGCTGTTCCATAGCTTAATAGCTCTAATAGTCAGAAAAGTTCAATCTCGATCACTTTCCTTTCAGCCAACCCACTGAAGTTTGTATTATCTTAAGTACTACAAGGAATGAATATACAACTTCTTTTGACAGCTCTTCAAGTATTTAAAAACTACTTTCATGTTTCTACTAAGCCTTTGCTTCTTTAGGCTAAATATACCCAGATTTTTTTAAAATTCCTACATGTAAAGGAAATCACTCTGCTTAGAGATTATAACTTAATTCCTGATTATAGACTTCTCCAGTTGTTAAAACAGCTTAGTTATCACAATGGATAGTATATCTGAATATATTCATGTCCAATATATTATCTTATTAATGTGGTGTTATATGATCAATCAAGATGTTATGTACTTTAAACATGCAAATAAGAGTAATTTTTTACTATAAGCATTCAAATAGTTTCATTTTGCAAAACCAGAGACTGTGCTTTCAAATGAAATCCTGTGTTGGAAGAAACAATATTTCTATAAAGATAGAACATTCAGGAATTGTGTTTGATGTCTGAACTTTTTTTAAGAAAAAGCTATTATCTTAAAAGAAGGCTGCTGAAATTAATCACACATATGTTCTTAAAAAGTATAAGCACTTTGAAGTATAACTCTGAAGTGTCAAATAAAAGCTGAACAGATCATAGATTTTTAAGTCCCAACCATGACCTACATGTCATGACCTACATCACACAATCTAACTAGTCTCATATCAGGCCTGTCAAACTTGTACAGTTTTTAAGCCCTATATCTTCATCAGCTTGTCAAATGCAGCTGTTTGTGCTCTATCCATTCAGAAAGATTTGATTAACTATTACATGTATATTAGCATAAGAGCACATGCATACATGCAAACACCCATAATAAAAGGCCTGGATATGCCTTTAGGCAAAACAAGTGCAGTTCCATGGCATAATTTTATGAGGGATGGAAAGTATTTATAGCTTGTGGGTTCTATGTATGTAAATGGCTTCTATATCTCTAATCCATAATATTTTGTTCAGAAGTCTACCAAATAAAGCAAACTGCTGGTACAAGCAAAACATCTCTGCCATACATGGTATTTAGCTCAACAAGGAAACTTTACTTATGTCCCAACTTTCTGGAACATATTACCAAGAAACTATGTTATTTTAATAACTATTTAATTAGAAACACATTCTGGTCCTTCTAATAACAATCATGTGTTTTCATAAATTATACCACCATGTAGTTTGTTACCAACCTGTTGTGCTTCTTTCTAACTAAGAATACTTTATTCTTTACTACGGTATAAGATGATGCAATGAAATAATGTAGCCATGCAGAACTGGCTTAAACAACTTGGATTCCATTTGCACAAGGTTAAAATATCAGCTTAAGATCAGGAGAATCAAGGTTCAAGTCCAACCCCAGTCATTAAGCTCATGTATAGCCATGAGTCAATCATTATGCTTGAAATAAAAAAAACAAACTATTTATTCTGAATCTCAGTTTGATATGTGATTATTAATAAATAAGCTTCTCATATCTGCATTAACTCTTGATTGGTACTTGGGGAAGCTCATGTTCAAATGCAATAATAACTATGAAAGTTTATTAGTAACCGGGATACCTTCGAGACCGCCTTCTGCCACAGATTACCTCCCATCGGCCTGTACGCTCCCACAGGGTGGGTCTCCTCAGGGTGCCGTCGGCCAGACAGTGCCGGCTGGCGACCCCAAGGGGGAGGGCCTTCTCTGTGGGAGCTCCCACCCTCTGGAATGAGCTGCCCCCAGAGATCAGGGTGATCCCTGATCTCCCT